TTACCAGTTGAGCTAGTGGTGCTAGCCTCTGAGTTCTAACCTTGTTTTCATTGGTGAAGGCGAGCGTTCGCGCCCCCTCTCCCAATTGTCCTCTTTTACCAGTTGAGCTAGTGGTGCTAGCCTCTCTGTGTTCTAACCTTGTTTTCATTGGTGAAGGCGAGCGTTCGCGCCCCCTCTCCCAATTGTCTTCTTTTACCAGTTGAGCTAGTGGTGCTAGCCTCTCTGAGTTTTGACCTTGTTTGATTGGTGAAGGCGAGCGTTCGCGCCCCCTCTCCCAATTGTCCTCTTTTAACAGCTGAGCTAGTGGTGCTAGCCCCTCTGAATATCTTGGGCATAGCTGGGTAAGGAGCATGGACGGCTCTCACTGCTGTACAGTCTGTGGAGCCATGCTCCAGATAGATGACGGTCACGACCTGTGTCCTGCCTGCCTTGGACATGACCATCTGGTGGATGCCCTGTCAGAGAACCCCTGCATGAATTGCAGCTTCATGTCGCATGCTGTGAGGGCGGCCCGGCTGGCCCAGTTTCGCCCCAAACTCGGCGATGACCTCCCGCCTTCTGGGCAGGAGGCTCCACCTAGGCGCTCGAAGCGCCGGACTGAGGCCGCAGTTTCTGTGGCCCCTCCTGGGAAGAAGCGAGCCAGGTCTGATAGGGGCCTCTCCACAAGGGTGGAGCAGCTCTCCGCTGAATTAGCGGAGATGAAGTCCCTTTTTCAGGTACACCAACTGGGAACTGAACCAGTGGCAGCAACTGGACTCTCCTCCCCACCCATGCCTGAACTGGCTGTGGAGGAGGATGTGCTATCCTTGGCTGCCTCTGCCTCTCACTTTTTAGGTGAGGAGGACGGGCATTCATCTCGAGTCTCAGAGACAGCTTCACTCTCTTCTTCTCGGAGTGCAGTTAGTGGGTCGGGTGACGGCTCGATGCAGGACATTATGCGTATGGCCCTGAGACAACTGCAGCTGGACGTCCTGCAACCAGAGGCGTCCACCCCTGGAAGTGCCTTCTTCAGGCGCGGACTGACCCCTCCTTCCTTTTCTGTCCCTCCATCAGAGGAGTTCCTGAGGGAGTTGCATGGTTGCTGGCGGGACCCCAAGGCCTTTGCGCGCCTCTCTGCAGATGGCAGAGTGTTGGCGGCCATGCATGAGCCGGCTGCAGCAGGCTTGGATCGCATGCCAGCGATAGAACCTGCTGTTGCCTCTCTCATCGTGTCACCAGATGAAGCTCTGCGCAGTCATGTTCGGTGCCCACGAGCTCAGTGTCGTGTCACGGATGAATTCCTCTGCAGAGCCTATGCCGCCGGAGCGCGTGCTGGCCGCCTAGGTAATTCCTTGGCACACCTAATGCTTGCCCTCTCCGCGTCCCTTCAGGGGACTAGTGGTGCGACAGCAGCGATGGGCTTTAACGATGCAGCGCTTCAGGCCTTTGCACTAATGACGAGGGAGCTTGGGCGTGTGATGTCCTCCTTGGTCCAAGCTCGCCGACAGGTCTGGTTAGCTCAGTCAGCGTTGACTGAGCCATGCCGTAGAGCCCTCCGTAATGTCCCAGTGGTGCCGGGGGAGTTGTTCGGTTCGGCTGCCTTGGAAGCACTGGAACGGACTGTCCAGGCACGACAGAGAAGGCAGCAATTTTCGAGCCTTAGCAGGCCAATGCCCCCTCCACCTCCTCGGCATCCAAGGCGCCTGTCGGCTGGCTCCAGCATGCAGCCGCCGCCTGGGGGTCATAACCGGCCGGGTGGTCCTTACCCTCATGCGGTTCAGCAAAGGCCCAGCAGGAGCTCTCGTGGGTTGGTCCACCGACCAGCTGGGCAGGCTCGGACCAGGGACTCTGGCTGCCGCCCCCCCACGGCCCCTAGGGGTCGTGGAGGGAGACGGTGATGCCATCAGGCCGACCGTCGGATATTTCTCCCACCAGCAGCTCAGCTATTGGGTTGCTCACGCCGTGGACCCATGGGTGGTTGCCACTCTGACCCATGGTTACCGGCTACAGTTCCGACGGCGGCCTCGTATCTCAGGCCGGGTCAAGATGACTGTAATCGCCGACCCGGTGAAAGCTCAAGCACTAGACCAGGAACTTTCCGCCCTCCTGGCCAAGGGCGCAATAGAGGCAGTGGACCCTCTGCAACAACCCAGGGGCTATTACTCGACTTACTTCCTTGTGCAAAAGAAGACGGGCGGGTTTCGTCCCATTTTAGACCTGAGGGGACTCAACCAGTACCTAAAGGAGCTGCCCTTCCACATGCTCACAACAGCAGAAGTCCTTCAAGCTGTCACAAGGGAAGAATGGTTCACGTCTGTAGACCTGAAGGATGCATATTTTCATGTGCCTATTGCGGCAGAACATCGCCGCTTTCTCAGGTTTGCCTATCGGGGTCACCACTGGCAGTTCCGGGTACTTCCATTCGGGCTCTCTCTCTCCCCAAGGGTGTTCACTCGGTGCGTGAAGGCAGCCCTCTCTCCTCTGCAGGCCTGCGGAGTGAAGATTCTGCCGTACTTAGACGATTGGCTTCTCTGCGCCCCGTCTCAGGCCTGTGCCTTTCACGACACAAACCGCCTGCTCGCTCATATGTCCCAGTTAGGCCTCAATGTCAACCTGGAGAAGAGCTGCCTGATCCCTTCCCAGACGACCACCTTTCTTGGGGTGGTTCTGGATTCATCTTCAATGAGAGCTCGCCCATCCGCTCAAAGGGTGGCCGGCATACTCCAGCTGGTCAATCGGTTCAGGCTGGGCAAGCAGCTCCCCTATGTTGCCTTCCTGCAACTACTCGGCAAGCTGACATCAGTCACTCGGGTGGTGCCCTTAGGCCTGCTGTCACTTCGCCCCTTGCAGAGGTGGCTCAACAGCTTTCGCCTGGATGCCAGGCTGCACAGGCATCGCAAGCTCGCAGTGACGTGGTCATGTCTTCATGCCTTGACTCCATGGAGGGACGAAGATTATTTGTCCAGGGGTGTCCCCATGGGAGTGGTAGTGTGTCGCAGGGAAGTGGTCACAACGGATGCCAGCTCCATGGGATGGGGGGCTGTATGGCAACGCAGAGCGGTTCAGGGCCGCTGGGGTCAAAGAGACCATTCCAAGCATATAAATGTGCTGGAGCTGCGTGCAGTGCACTTGGCACTCAGGCACTTCCTGCCTCACCTGGAAGGGAGGCATGTACTTGTTCGGTCGGACAACACCTCTGTTGTCTACCACATCAACCATCAGGGGGGCACCAGGTCAGCACAACTTCTGAGTGTGTCCAGAGAGCTCCTGGAATGGGCCTCTCCTCGCCTGTCCACCCTGCGGGCAGCGTACTTGCCAGGGCGACACAATCAGGTCGCAGATTTTCTCTCCCGCCAAGAGTCCCCTCCGGGAGAGTGGTCCCTCCACAGAGACATAGTGCTGATGATCTGGGACCGTTTTGGTCAGGCAGAGATAGACCTGTTTGCGACGGAAGAGTCGACTCAGTGTCCCCTATGGTACTCTCTTACGGGGGCGTCGGGTGCGCTAGGCCAGGACGCATTGGCTCATCCTTGGCCAAGGGTCCTTCTATATGCCTTTCCACCCCTTTCTCTAATTTGGCCAACCCTTCAGAGAGTCCTCGAGGAGGGCCACAGGATGCTGCTGGTGGCTCCGTATTGGCCAGCGCGACCATGGTTCCCACTGCTACGAAGTCTATGTCAGGGCGTCCCATGGTGTCTTCCGACCAGAAGGGACTTGCTGTCTCAGTTGGGGGGACTGATATGGCACCCCAATCCTCAACGTCTTCGGCTGTGGGTGTGGCCACTGCAAGGCTAGGACAGCAGCTGACTGGAGTTTCGAGCCCCGTCAGACGCACCATCCTGGGCGCCAGGGCACCCTCTACTCGTCAGCAGTACGAAAACAGGTGGCGCCTGTTTTCCCAATGGTGTTCGGATCACAACAAGGATCCAGTCTCCTGTACAATACCCACCATTCTGGAGTTTCTCCAGTCTCTACTTGGTAAGGGTCGCTGTCCTTCGACGCTTAAAGTTTATGTAGCGGCAATATCATCTAATCACACTGGCATTGATGGCTGTACGGTAGGGAGCCATAATCTAGTCTCTCTTTTTCTGCGTGGTGCCCGTAGGTCACACCCGCCAACAGCTCCACGAGCACCAGGTTGGGACCTTCCCTTGGTTCTCGAAGCTCTGTGCCGTCCTCCTTTCGAGCCTCTGTCGCAGGCGGACCTCAAGTGGCTTTCATGTAAGACGGCTTTTTTGTTGGCTATTACCTCAGCAAAGAGGGTCAGCGAGCTACATGCTCTCTCAATCAGCCCCTCATGTCTCAGGTGGGGCCCTGAGGGCTCGTGTGTTACCTTGTGGCCAAACATTGCATTCGTACCAAAGGTGTTATCTCGCTCTCACTCTAACCAACCGTTGAGGCTGGCACGTTTTCAGCCTGCGCCTGGTGAGGGGTCTGCATTATTGTGCCCGGTAAGGGCACTGGAGGCATATGTTGCAGCTACTGCCGTGATAAGACATTCAGACCAGCTGTTTGTGTGTTATGGAGGCCCTAGGTTAGGCTGTCCTCTTTCCAAACAGCGCCTCTCCCACTGGATCGTGGACGTCATCTGCCACGCCTATGCTGCAGGGCCCGGCTCCCTCCCGGTCGGCTTGAAGGCTCACTCTACCAGGAGCGTCTCCGCTTCCTGGGCTGCCCTGAGAGGGGTTCCGCTGGAAGCAATATGTGCTGCTGCATCATGGGCTTCCCCAAGCACGTTCACCAGATTTTATAGAGTTAACGTGGCCACCCCTCATCCCCTGGGCCAGGTTCTTCTACAAGGGTCCTCTGGGCCTCCTCAGTGAGGTAGGTGTTAGGATTCCTTGTGACATCGTTGATATTAGTCATTCAGTGCTTTCAGCACCGCCCTCTGGCGGTCAGGAGGGATGAAATAGAACGAAAGTTACGTATGTAACTACGGTTCTATGAATCCCGGATGACCGCCAGAGCTTCTCCGTCACTCAGAATCCTTGCGTTTCGCGAGAAGATTCTGTAGGAGCAGAGCAGCGGATGACGTCGGGCTATATAGCCTCTGATTGGTCATCCGTGTCACACCTGTGACTCCGTTGGTATTATTACTCGAATCAGCGCATGCGCGAAGGGAACATTCAGTGCTTTCAGCACCGCCCTCTGGCGGTCATCCGGGATTCATAGAACCGTAGTTACATACGTAACTTTCGTTTTATTTTAACATTAAGTCCGTTTTATTCAACCTCAACACGCATGTGGACTCAAAACAGTAGGAACAAAACAGAAAAATAAGCATCTTTTAATTACACTGGTCTATTTTAATTAATATAAAAACAAACATCTTCCCACACTGACCTGAACTGTCCGGCAGCCATGCTGTCTCCAGAAAACAGACTGTTTCTGGCGTCCCGCAGGTTCTCACGCAGCTTTTTATCCAACTTCTACACAAAATACAAAGTTCATCAATAAATATACATTATGTCTGGAAGTCCAACCTGTTATATGTGTATGTATATTAACACGGTTAAGTTCTTTAAATGGTAAATACAAAATTATACAACTTTAAAAAAAGGGAAGTGTCTTTATCCATGGAGGCAAAACTTAATTTTGGACTTCCATTTCCTCGGTTTAAAAATGTGGACAGATCTACATCAGGGCGAGTTAATTACGAGTTTTGGCAGGACAGAAAGAAAAACGGCTCCATAGTTTTATATGATAAATTCCTTAACATCTGGAACATCTGTTGGTTCACCGCAAAGCAACCAGAAAGGTTAAATTTTTAAAAAAAGTATTATGATGTATCCAAGCCGTAAAGCATCATAAATAAATAAGTTCCATTTCATTTCATAGTCCGTGAAATAAACTACGGTTTCTGTGGATGATGGACGTTTGGGTCGTGTTGTTAAATATTTAGTGCAAATGTTATTTATGAAATTAAAAAAGCCAAAGTTTGGATCTAAAGATGGTGTCTGTGACCGGTTGGGAGCAATTTGTCACATTTCTTGGTCTAACTCTAGACCAACGTTTGCCAGTTTGTGTACGTACAACAGCTTTGGCGCTGTAGAATCACAGAAACTAAACTGAGGTGGGTTCTGGACGCCCGCGGGGTCACAAGCTTTCAAAACATGTTTAAAGTGTCTGGGACGTGACAGCCACTGTTTAACCAAATAAAAGCCACAGATATCTGAAGAACAGCTGAGTTTGTGTTTTGTGACCCTGAACTCACCACAGCAACCATCTCTGCAGCATTTCCTCGGGGGCAGCGGATAATCGGAACCGCACCTGATGAACACAACAAAGTCCACGTTAACCGCTGCGAGGGTCCGAGTACCTGAGACACCTGCAGCGCTCCCTTTGTACTCGCCTTCGCCTGCTAACATGCCGTTTATACCAATAAAAGCCAACCACCTTACAGAACTGCTGAAAATATTGTTTAATTTTTTTTGTCTTTTAGAGCTAGCTCAGATTGAAATAAAAATAACAAAGACTTTTTTTTAACTCAAGTCTTTAGTTTTATTTAACAGTTTATTTATTCTATGTCTACGGCATTTTTTAAGAGATGAAAAATGCCCAAATAGTTTGAGTAATTATTATTATTTTTTAATCATCTTTTAGTGGGCCAAAAAAAAAAAAAAAAAAAAAAAGATTTATTTACTGATCGATCGTGTTTATCGACACCAAAAATGAAACTAAAACGCAAACAAAGCTAAATGTGCGGCTGATTCTTCCCCACGAGCGTCAGAGGGTAAAACAAGACGAGCCGAACTCACCCAGAGTCACGAAGAAGCAGAAGAGGCTGTCCACGATGGCGTCCATGATGGCCTCCATGTCCGTGTCCTGGATGTCCGCCCTGTTGATGGCTGCTCAGGTGACAAACAGAAAAAACACACCATCCTGATTACAGCCGAATCTTTCACCCTGCTGTTGTTGGTGGTCCATTTTGCTGCCCGACTACAAACATTTACTGTAAATATGAAGTGAAGATTGTAAACAAAAAGAGTTTGAGTCTTTAAAATACCAAAAGTTTTTTTTTAACAAACTATACACCGACTGTGAGAACATTTATTTATATAGTTTTTAAACTACACTTTGTCCAAATGTTGTAGACATGAAACGGTTGGTTCATTTATTATTCAAACTTTAGCTGTTACCGTGGTAGGAGATGAGCTCTTTGTTTTGGTGGCAGAGGATGAACATGTCGTCTTCGAGGGTGATGAAGTTCAGGTATTGATCAAACACCTAAAACAAAACAATAAACTCATTTAACTAAATTAAACATCTACAGACAAACTGTTTAAGCATCGAACAACTCTCGTGTTACTGAAAGCACGTTTTATTTTGTTTGATGCAAGTTCATCTTTTTTATCGTCTTTAGGTTTAATTAAGCTTTAGGCCAAAAGATTATCTGCTTAAATCCCAGAGGGTGATAAGCATTCACCTTTAATGTTTATTTATAAAACCACTGCTGAGGTTAAAGGTGCACGCTGCTTGATTGGTTCGGTCCGACCCGATCGGACAGTCACGACATTTAAAGTGTTAAAAAATAAAAAGATTTGCAGAACGATTCGAAAATAAAAACACGCCGCCTCAAAAATCGTCTTCAGAAGGTCAAACTGAAAAACAAAAGAATGTTTGAAACGGCTGGAAGTCAGCTAAAATTAAAACATCAACAGCTAACAGGAGCAGAACCGTGGCTAAACGGTAAGAAGAGTAGAACAGCCAAAGAGAACAGTATAGTAGCTAAAAAGAACAGAACAGTGGCTAAATGCTAAACAG